TGGGGTTCCTGGAGCTCGCCAACTTCTTCATCCGCTCCTGTGGCTGCAAAGGTGGGGGTTCCCCTTGACGGGGGTGCCCTGTCCCCTCTGTGCTGCTGGTGGGGGTGTGTCGTCCCTCCTGAGCCCGGGGACCCCTGTTCCACCGCAGCCCCCCTTTCTCCCCCCCGGCAGGCGTGGTGACCCTGGAGATGTTCAGGAACCTGCAGAACTCGGAGATCATCCAGCAGCTGACGGAGAAGTTCGAGGAGGTGCCGGGGGAGCACAGGGATGGGGATGGGGATTGGGGGGGGTGCCCGTGGGGCAGAATCCTGCCTCACCCCCGTCTCCCCCCACCCCCAGGATTCGGCCGAGTACCCCATCTCGCTGAGCACCCAGCCCTGGCGCCGCTTCCGAGCCGGTTTCTGCGAGTTGGTGGCCGCTGTGGTGCGGTGCTGCCAGTACGGGGTGGTCTACGACGAGTTCCTGATGGACTCCCTCATCTCCCTCCTCACCAGCCTCTCCGACTCCCAGGTGCGGGCCTTCCGTCACACCAGCTCCCTGGCAGGTAAGGCAGCTCCCCAGGATTGGGATGGGGGGGGTCTCCCCATGGGGGGACCCCCCCCTCCTGGCTCCCTCCCACCTGCCCCCTCACTTCTTCTGGAGTGTTTTGTCCAGTTTTGGGGGCACCTCCATCCAAGAGAGATCTGGAGGTGCTGGAGCTGGGGCAGAGGAGGGCAACGGAGCTGAGAAAGGGCCTGGAGAATAAATGGTAGGAAGAGCGATTTAAGGAGCTGGGACTGTTTAGTTTGAGGAAGAGGAGGCTGAGGGGACACCTCATCTCTCTCTACTTGAAAGGCCACTGTAGAGAGGTTGGTGCTGGTCTCTTCTCCCAAGTAATTAGCGATAGAACGAGAGGGAATGATTTCAAGCTGCAACAGGGTAGGTTTAAACTGAAGATCAGGAAAGAGTTTTTCACAGCAAGAGTGGTTGGACATTGGAATAACCTGCCCAGGGAGGGGGTTGAGTCGCCATCCCTGGACGTGTTTAAGAGCTGTTTAGATGTGGTGTTGGGGGACGTGGTGTAGGGGAGAACTTTGTAGTTGGGTTGATGGTTGGACTCGATGATCCCAAAGGGTCTTTTAGAGTGATTCTGTGATTCCTCAGCCATGAAGCTGATGACGGCGCTGGTGGACGTGGCGCTGGGCGTGAGGCTGCACCAGGAGAACAACCAGCGGCAGTACGAGGCCGAGCGGGGCAAGGAGCCCGGCCGCCAGGCCACCAACAAGCTGGAGGCCCTGCTGGAGAAGCGCCAGGAGGTGAGGGGTGGCCATGGCGGGGTGGGGACTGGATGATGGGGGGGTCCAGGCCCCATCTGAGGCCCACTGTGTCCCTTCCCAGCTCCGGGAGCAGCAGGAGGAGATCGAGAACATGATGAATGCCATCTTCAAGGGCGTCTTCGTGCATCGCTACAGGTCAGGACTGACCCGGGGGTTCTTCCCCCTCATGGCTGGGGAGAAGGGGCACGGGGTG